TGTGTGTGTGTGTGTGAAAAGTGCTGTGGACCAATGAATATCATAATAATCATAGCTGCTTTTAGCAGAGTGGGTATCTAGGTCAAACATAGTATTACTACTTTCCATTTATTACTTTTCCTAATTTAGTCACAAACCCTATTCTCTCTTCATTTCACTGATGAAAATCTCAGGCTCTTGGTAGATACAAGCATTCAAGTCCATGTGATAATACAGTGGAACCCTGCAGAAATCCAAATTTCTTTAATGTGAAAGATGCCCGAATTTGAGCTCAAGCCTCATTGATTGATCTATCTCATTAATTATTCCATTAGCTTTCAAGGGTTTTACCATCACATCCACAACCGTCGGTACTGATTTGAAAGCCATCCCGACAGGTGCATTCATAGCCTCCTAAATAGTTGATGCAGAGCTGGGCACAACAGGCTTCTCCAGTCTCACATTCATCAAGGTCTGAGGGGAAAGGACATTTCTGTTATTACAGGAAGCAGAATTCAACAAGGCTACAGAAGCTCTGAGAGGTCTCATTTCTAAATTACAACAGTTTTACTAATCATTCCCCATTTGTTAGGTCACAAGGAGCAGATATTGAAGAAATTATCACAAAAGTAATGACACCTACTTTTGGTCTATGCTTCTCGCCTGCTTCTTCTGCATCTGTTATTTATTTTAAAGGAATGTAAATAATCTCCAAATGTACTTATAAGCATAGGAAACGAGATCCCTACTATTTTTCTAGTTTAAACAGCAATCTGACTGAATAAACAGAGCTTGAAGAACAAAAAGACAGAATTGAGAAAGAAGAGCCAAAGAATTCCATTTAGTAACATTTGACAGCTGCAAGAAGGAAGACAATCTCAGACTCCATAATGTGTTTATTCTTCAAGAACTTCAGATCAAAAAGTGTTCCCAACTAAAAGTTCTTCCACTCAGCCAAGGAGACAAGTGGGAACTACACTTCTGAGACAAGGAAGCAAAATTACTTTAAATATTGTGGCCTGAATTAGGGAATGTGTGAGAGCATTTGCTTGAACATCCAGATGATGTTTGGGGGAGATAAGTGAAGGTCTGTGGGTTTCCATTACCACTGTGAAATCATTAACCTGGGATATTCTGTCAGGTGAGTAATTGTTTAAACCAAAGCAATATAGCACTTTTGTTATAGAAACCGACAGTCATGAATGTTCCTTCATAAGACTTAGATACACTGGAGAAAATCAAAATATACCAGTAGTTGTCAAGATGAAACTTCAGCCAAACATTTGTCTATTGACCTGAGTTTTGAAGAGATCATTTTAAATATAATAGTCAAAGAGTAGAAGGGGTCCTTAGCTCTGTTTTCTTTACTCTGGGCAACTGGGGATTGTACTGTCAATGTATTTGGCTTTAAACCCCTCATTCAGTTCAACTCTCTCAGTGTGTGGAGCTGTTAGGTTGGGTGGCCTGTCACTGCTGACCTTCCTGAATCCTGTTGCTAGATGACTACATGAGCAACCACAGATAAAAGGAGGTCAATGTCTCAATTAACCTTGGGGAAGGTACAGACTCAAGGAAATGAAGACAAGAGACAGGAAGGAAAGAAAATGCAATCAGTCTGTGTAGATGAAGGGTCACCATAAACTATCGAAATGAAGGTCATTTGGACACAAAGCATTCTTTCTCCTGCAAAATGTCACAAGCCATGCCACTCATAAAATTCTGGATGATTTTATTCCTTTTCCCATAGTAAGTCTTTTTATGCCTTTTAGATTGAACAGGGTGAACACAGAAGATTAAAGAAAAACAACAGGTAAACCAGTTTCATTTCATTAAAAACATTCAGTTTTGTGGGTTTTATTTTCCATATATTTTCTTTCTTTTCTTTTCCTTTTGATTTTAAAATGTCTTCTTAGGGGCTGGAGAGGTGGCTCCGTGGTTAAGAGCACTTGGTGCTCTTACAGAGGACCCGGGTTCAGCTCCTAGTACCACTCTCATGACCAGTAGTGTACTAGCCAAATTGTTTTGGTTTTCTTATACATTCGCATGATAACATAGGATAAAATTCATAAACGTTTTTACAAAGCATTCATGATTTTGACTTGTTCACAGGCAAATGGGGCATATTCCAAATTCTTACTGCCTCACTCTATTGAATATTTGGACTTCAGAAATGTGTTTTACTGTAGGAAAAATGAAATACAATGAACCATAAGCAATGTAGCATTGTCTTGTTGACTGCTGAAATCTCATAAATATGCAGTTTTCTGCATTTTGACCCTGGCAGATGCTGTTTCTCTAGCTGTAAATAAGAACTTTCTTGAATTGTACTTTTCAAAGAATAAAGAAATCAAATTAAAATAAAAAAAGCTTTAGAAAAACTTCAGTTTTCTTTATTTGGCACAGACATGAAGAAGAGAAAACAAAAAGAGAGCAGAAGGAAGAGGGACCGGGGAGAGGGAGGGAGGAGGAAGAAGAGAGGGAGGAGGGAGGGAGGGATGGAGAGAGGGCAGTGAAGGAAGGAAGAGGGAAAGGAAGAAAGAAGTGAGGAAGGAGTCACAGAGTCAGAGAGGGTCAGGGAGAAAGAAAGAAAGAAAGAAAGAAAGAAAGAAAGAAAGAAAGAAAGAAAGAAAGAAAGAAAGAGAAAGAGAGGAAAGACAGGGGGAGGGAGGGAGCAAAGAAAGGAAGGAAGGATAGAAGTAGGGAATCTTTAATTTCTTTTGTTAATATAAATTTTAATGGAATAGGAAAACCAGCATATCTTTCAATTCAAAAGAGGGTAAGGAAAACAACTGCTTTTTATCTGTTGGACACTGAGGACTCAATGCAGCGTAGAAGACTCTGCTGGATCATGAAACATATGCAATGATGCTGTTTGGTTTAAATAATTTATGAGACCAGAATACTGTGGAATTCCACGAGATTCATTCTGATTCTCATAGTGCCGAAGAACAAAATAAATGAACAAAACTCGGTTCTTAATACTTTAAACTCCTCTCATCATACAGAGTAGCATGCGACGAGAAAAGAACTTTTAGCATTTGAATTATGACTTTAAAGAGAGGAAACTTACAACATCATTCATGAAAGTGAGCAAATGTTGTGTCATCTTTCCTGAATGAAGAGAACACAACTTGATGCTCAGCACACCTATATGTAGGAGATAAATACTAAAACAACTAGATTCAACATTTCATTTTGAGGGAAGGCCACACTGACATTTATTTTTCTCACTGTCCCAAATAATATAAATGACATAAGTATCAATGATAACAAATGGACTTTATAAATATAAATTATATAAATTATAACAATATGTTGTTGAAACTATCCATTAAGTATGGGATTGGGAGCTGGAGAGATGGCTTAACAATTATGAGCATGTACAACTGTTGCAGAGGATTCAAGTTTAGTTCCCAGCTCCACATCAGGCAGCTTACCACTGCCTGTAACTTCAGCTCCAGGCGATCCAACCTCTTCTGAACCTCACATATAACATACAGTATACACATAAGTTTTTAAAGAAAGAAAGAATGGTTTGACCTGGAATGGCCAAAGAATATTTTAAACTTTTGGAAAAATGTACTATAACACATGTAACAATTATCCAAGTCATTACAACCTGAAAACCAATGGACATGACTCAGTTTGTGTTTGAAGTAGGGAGAAGTGGAATCTTTCGTACCATTTATTGTTGGCATACGAATTAGATGTTTTAGATGGACCGTTTTGTGAAATAAATCTTAAAAACTTCTATTCACACAGAGTTAATAGCCCATATATCTCATCAAAAGTTTTCTAATTTACTTAATTTCAGAGCAAATATCTAATGTAAGGATATGTCTTGCCAAGAATCAATGGCTAGTGACATTGTTTAATTCAGTTCTGTCTTTAGTCTGAGGGCTGTGGCTCACATTATAGCAATATGTATTAACATGAAAACAGTAAATGATTCCAAAGAAGCTTTGAATGAAAAAGGCATTTACCAAATATTACCTATGCATGTTTTGTCATCGGTGTCAAGCTGGTGTCCATGGTTACAGGAACAACGGGGCCCACCAATTTCAGGTTCACAGTGATGCGAACAACCACCATTGTTCTGTTCACAGCTATTGACAATTTCTAATTCAATCCCTTTTCAAAACAAGCAGAAAGGGTTTATTAACATAACAACAGAGAATTTGGACTATATGTCAACAATGGGCATGCTTTGTTGAGAGGATGATGCACTTTATTGGAAGTATATTAACATTTTGCAAATACAAAAGCAACAGTCTAAGGACTATTAAGCCACAGGTATTATGCATCCTTATACTATACTGAAATGTTAATAAACCTGTAAATGATAAGAAAGCTGGTGCTGAGTGTGCTTGTGGTCATTAAATACTCAAAGGATGCTGACTTTAGGAAATTATATATATATATATATGCTCAATCTTAGAACATATAATAAGATTTCCTGGTAATATGTAACTAGTATCATGGTGGTGTGTTAATCAGCTCTGATGCATAAGAACCTAAGAATCTCACTTATTATTTTAGCAGACCATTAATTTGAAAAACACTTTGCCAGCCCTGGCATGTGCTGCTCGTTTGGGGCATTATTGTTGGGCATCACGCTCAGCATGTGAATGTTCACTGTTTTGAGCACACAGACCTGATAGGCACGGATTTTCCAAATGAAAAGTGAGAAGTAGAACATTTGAGTCAATGTTTAAAGTGTGGAATGTAGATATGCTGACTGCTGTGTTTTGAACATTGCTCGGTATCATGTGTGTGGACACTCTCTTTGCCTCAACAGCACCCACATTGGTTCCTTTCCTTCCAGTCTTAGCTCCTGAGTCTACAGAAGAAGACAGCAGGAAGAACAGGACCAGAGTATCTGGAATTTTGGCCCTCCTTATGAGCACATTCATCATTGAAGCTACATAGAGATCCCCAAGTTCCAAAGGTCATCTTTCCTCACCATAGCCTCCTGTTTTAGCAGACAGCAGCTTGACTGCTCCCCAAGTACCCTCTGCAGGTCCATCACAACTGGTTCAACTGTGCTGCCCTCTTCTAGCATGTTCACACATCATATCAGTTCATACCAGATGTTCAAAAACAAATTTCCAAAGATTAAATGAAGTAAGGAAGGATTATACTAATTAACTTACTGTTGAAAGCAAGAACCTGTTAGAAACAGCTAGTTTATGATTAAGGAATACTAGCAGCACTGAAAGACTGAAAAAACAGAGGGAATTGTTCTTTTCATGACATATTGAACTATAGCATCATGATACAGACCTGAAATGCTTTCTCTTTGTATATGCTGCTGTTATTCACATAAAGAATCATAGTGGTTATCTTAGACTCCATCAAGAAAATCCCCATTATCTTTCAGAAAAGTTAACTTTGATTGATGTGGAATCACCTCTTTAGTAACATGTAAAGCAGCATTGGTATTAAAGGCCAGGTCTCCAGGCCACCTTTTTCCCATTTCTCTCAAATTGATTTCATATAAGTTCAGATAAGCACTCATTTAAGATTTTCTTTGTGAGTGCTAAATTCTAGTTAAAATACATTATTTTATGTACATTTATTCAACACCTATAGTACACAAAAGAGACATAAAAATGTTAAGATTTTTTCTTACCATATTAAAAATATAATGTTCATAAAGGATAAAAAACATGTCCAAGGCACTGGAGTCAGTAGATGGGATTTTTTTTCCAATTCAGGGATGATTTCCTATATAATCCCACTTGCAAACAGAAAATAATTTGAACAAAGTGTAACCTATTTCAATAGTAATAATTTTCATAAGAGAAGTAGTCTGTGATAAACTAGAAAACCATGAAATTTAAAGTCAGAAGACCTGACACTTCAGGGTTGTATGATAAGCAGTAAATAATCTTAAACATCTGGCCCTCTAGATTTCCCTATAATTAACATATGGAGCGAATGGCAAGGAAAACTAGTGGGACACACACACACACACACACACACACACACACACACACACACACAGTATTTGACCATTAAAGTGTTTTGAAAGTTGAGAAAATGTTCGTAGAAATCTGGAATTTTATGTTTTCTTAAAAAATGAAATCTATTTTTAAATATTAAGAAGTTACTAACTTAGGTGATAGTCATTTCAAAACATAGTGTGGCAATTTAATGTCTTAAATATAAATACACACCTATCCTATGGCATTGCAATTCAAGCTCTTGATATTTACAGAAGGAAAAACCCTCAAGTATGCATAAAAAGCTATATAGAAATGTGCATGGTGGTTCTCTTTATACAGTGCTATAAATCTGTAAATAATTCAAATGTCCTCTCCTGGGTGACTCTGAATCCAGTAGTCCTATGTCCATTAGGTAAAATACTACTCACTACAGAAAACACCACTATTCATGTGAGCAATCATTTGACTGAAATCTCAAGGCTATGCTGGAAGAAAGGTTCTGCTGGGTCAATGTCACTTTTGTAACATTCTGGAAAAATAAATATCAGCAATGGAGAGCAGATCAGTAATTTTCACAGGTGAAGGGTAAGCATGGAATAAGGGATAACCCAGGAATATCAAATGGGAGTTTTCTCACATGATAAAACTACTTAGTCTCAGTTCCAGTGGTGGCACAAATCTATGCACACTAAATCTGGTAGCACTGTAAGCTAAAAGTTACTTTTATTGCTTATTAACTTATTCCTATTCTTTCCTGACCATTGGGTTCGCAGTCTTAATTTCCTTTTGATTTCTCCTCCAAGGTCTCCCACTTTTCACATGAACCTATTCTTTTTCACAGATTAGATACCATTATCCAGCCTTGAGCTGTACAAACATCAGTGTTATTTTGTCTGGTCAGAAAATAGGCAGACATTGCACAGTTGTCATTGCTAATCACCATTCACACACTGAAGATAGAACTGGTGATTTCTGAACATTCTCCTTATCTGCCTAATTAAATGTACTTTTTCCTTGAACTCCACATTTTGATAAAAGTCATTCTTAGTCTCCTGCTTAGCGAGGCTTCAGGCCAAGAATTATTCTTGAATATTCTTTTCCGTATACCTTTTCTCCTCTACCTGTATGATATACAAGTCTGTCTTTGGCATCTTCAATGTACTGTCTTACTTTACCCCAACGTTACAGCTTATCAGATGACTCTAATCTTGTTTACAGACACACACAGAGGCACACACACACACACACACACACACACATCTTGGGAATGAGATCCATTTCTAAACATCAGATTCATTTGTGTTTTGTATCTGGCTTGCTCATGTAGACTGAAAGTAATCTTACACAATATTTTAGTACACATACATTTAATTTTTAAAAAAATTATTATTTTTATTTTATGTGTATGAGTGTATTGCCTGCATGTGTATGAATGCATTCATGTCGTGCAATGCTGCGGAGATCAGAAGAGGGCTTCGGATTTCCCTGGAAATGGAGTTAAGGATGGAACATAGCCACCATGTGGGTGCTGGGAATTGAACCTGGGTCCTCTGCAAGAACAGTCAGTGCTCTTAACCACTGAGCCATCTCTCCAGCCCCACATTTATTTATTACAGTCCATCAAATGAGGTCAGGAGTGGAATTTTCAACTGTGGTGTGATGTCAATATTTATATTATAGAGCTTTGGAACATTTTAGAGTTTAGATATTTGAATTATCAATACACTGCCTACAATATTACTTTGGGAAGTAATCATGCATATTTGATGACTTTAATTTTACATCCCTTTTATTTGAATTTATGTTCCATGAATGCAGGAATCTTGACATATTGGTTTGTTTATTGCATCCCCAGTGCTAGGAAAAGCTTGTGGCATGTTAACATGGTTGTCTAGTAAGCCCATGTTAAATGAATCAGGGACTATAGACACAGTGGCAGAGCACTAGTTCCTTCTGGACAGTACCTACCAGGAGGCAAGTAGTCTCTCAACTTTAGTCCCAGAACTTGAGCTCCAATTAGTACAGACCTCACAAATCCTTATTTCCATTGACCAACATTACACAATTCTATTAACTGTCTTGTGTTGGTGTGGAGAGTTTTGATCTCTGGAGTAGATTAAGTTACTGGAAAACACAATAAATTTTCTAATATCATTTTTTTTCAGGAAAAGAATCAAGAAAATGATCCCTCTGGAGATTTTTGTGGAGACCCCTCCCCCTTCTTACTAGGTACCTATGATGCTGAAAGAATACAGCTTTAAATCTGCTGGAAGCTATTGTCATACATAAGTGATATCATAGGGAGATCCTAGCAGACAGCCTGAGAGGGTGGGTTCCGACCTCTGACCTCCATTGTGTAGTGGTTCTGATCTCAGCAGACCACCAGAGAGTGCTGAGTTCTGGCCTCCCTCTGGCCTCTCTCTGACAGAGGGGCTGAGAACACAGGGGACTGCCTGAGAGCCCCCGAATGAGCTTCCCCTAATAGCATCATACCCATCTCCCTCCCTGGGACTTCATGAGGCCCCTCTCAAGGCCCAAGGGCAGATCTGGCATTGATAGGGTAAGGCTGAGATCCTAGCAGACAACCTGAGAGGGTGGACTGCCTGAAAGTGCTCAGATCTTGCCTCCATGTGGTAAAGGAAGCCTGAGTATACCTGACTGGAACCTGAATTGGGCTTCTTTGGTACTCCTGAATAGCTGATCTGAAGCCATCAGTTCCCTCCAAATTAAACATGAGAGAACCTGAAACCAACCTGAAACGTACCAACCAGCTTTACATAACCAATAAAGGATCTAGGCACCCAGATAATGCAAACAGAAGCATACTTCAACTTAATTCTCATATCAGAATCACTAACAACAAAAGAAATTCACATGCCAAGATCACAACGAAAGAATAATAAAACGGAATGCCAAAATACTATGTCACCACCTAACTCCACCAATCCTGTAGAGAATTCTATAAGGAGAACCCTCTAGAGATAACCCAGGACACTGAATTTAAAAGAACAATCATCAACATGATCAAAGAATTCAATGAATTTAAAGAACACACAAAGAAACAAATCAAAGAGCTAAAAAAAGATAAGGATAAACTTCTGAATGAATTCACAAAAGAGATAGAAACATTGAAGAAAACTCAGGCAGAAATGAAGAAGGAAATGCAAAACTCAATAAAGCAAC